TCATGGTACTTCCATCGATGTGATGAGCAAAATAGAATGAATCTACCGCTACAACGTGGAAATATACACTGCCACACTTTTTCTTTTTTTTTTCTGTTTTTGTGTATGTGTGTGTGTGTGTGTGTGTGTGTGTGTGTGTGTGTGTGTGTGTGTGAGAGAGAGAGAGAGAGAGAGAGAGAGAGAGAGAGAAGAGGTAAGTCTCCAGCCGCACGGCTCACCTCATGGTACTTCCATCGATGTGATGAGCAAAATCAAATGAATCTACCGCTACAACGTGGAAATATACACTGCCACACTTTTTTTTTTCTGTTTTTTTTTTGTGTGTGTGTATGTGTGTGTGTGTGTGTGTGTGTGTGTGTGAGAGAGAGAGAGAGAGAGAGAGGGGAGCAGGTAAGTCTCCAACAGCACGGCTGACCTCATGGTACTTCTATCTGATGAGCAAAATCGAATGAATCTACCGCTGGTACACGGAAATATACACTGGCACACTTTTTTTTTTTTTTTTTTTTTGAAAATCCAGTTCCACCCACCAGTAGTCCGCCATGCGCTCATATGGCAGGGTGGGTCGCGTTCGACAGATTCGCGTCACGTGGTCCACAGCTCGTTTGAACGCGTATGAACGCGGCCCACGGCCGTTTGAACGCGGGCGTTCAAACGCAAATGCACGTTCAGCACGTTCAAACGGTCACATAGCCGATATAATGATTACACAGTTAGATTTGGATACAAACTTTGGATCAAAACAAAAGACCCAGGCCCGGTAATCAAATGTAGATGGCAGAAACTGTTAGGGCAGGAGGCAGACAAACTCTCCCAGATTCCACGGAAGAAATTCAAGACCATAAGACCGACTAAAATTAGAAGCCTTCAATGGCTCATCGCGTATGCTGCGCTACCAGTGAACCAATGGCTACACGTAAGACGCCAAAAGAATGACCCAAGCAGTTCGGACCTATGTACAGTATGCACGGAGAGGAGCCAGGAAGACTTAGTACACTGCCTAATCCAGTGTAGTGAAGCGAAGGGATTCGGGGCACGGGCATCGGCTTTGTGGGACTCCTTTTTCCAAACCCCCTTCCCTGATCACCCCATTCAACTTCTCCTGGGGACGTGCCATCTCAAAAAGACAGAAAGGCTCTGGTTAGGATTGATAAGGAAAGTGACACTATGGATCATCTGGAAGGAAAGATGCGTCAGAACCCTCGAAGGCCTATCCAACCTGCGGGAGAAGGTGTGGGCAGAAACAGAAACCTTCCTGCAGGCCGAGATCCAGTGTAAATGGCAGAAGCAAAAGAGCACTCGATGCCAGAGGATGAAGATCTACAAGACAAGCTCAGAAAGAGGTTTATCAGATTGTGGTTGGTGCAAGGAAAGGTGGCGGACCTCCGGGATGACAGGTTACACTGGAAGGACTGGCATAACTCAGAAATGGGTGGATGGGACCAGAGGGTGGCAATAACGGAGAGACAATTGAGCTAAGCGAAGTCAGGGACATCTGATAGGTGACAGTATGGGGTACCCCGGAGGACAGAGACGCCAGAATCAGCGAAGATGAGATAATCCCTGAGAGAAGGTGAAGTGAAATTTCTTGCAGACATCAAAGGCGGAAGGGTTGGTTGCCGGAGGAAGAGGGGGAGCAAGAGAGGAGCAGTAAGAGACCCATCAGATTGTGGTGTGGAAGGGCTAAGGTGGCTAAGCGTTAAGTGAACTACTCCCAAGGGAAGGCTGTCAAAACCCTGAGACAGGGACCCCGACACAGCGGATACTGCCAGAAGAGCGGCAATTGAATCAAACAAGATCAGAGGTTCCCGGTAGAAGCAAAGACCTCATAATAAAGGGGGGGAAAGGAGAAGGAGCCAAAATACAATAAAAAGACGGCTACATAGCACTTCAAGCCTTCAAGGTCGATAGGCAAGATCCCAGCAATGGAATTGTAATATCCAGCTCAGGCGGGAGGAGGAAGAGTTGCGGAAGCTCGGACAAGGGTTTCCGGATGAGGTTCCAGGTTTTAGGGTTTTTAGTGATCCTTTTTTTTTAAAAAGGCGGAAAGGTAAGATGGGACAGAGGTTTCGTGGACCACGGGCAGGACAGCTAAGTGGGAGTACAAGGGCAAGCTTGGACAATGGGGGAACTCTTTCTAAGTGACATTGATTTATCTGACAGATCTGGTTATCGGATTTGTGAGGAAAGAGTGAGGCACGGCAAGCTGACAGTCAATCCTCCATCAAGATGGAGCAATCAATGCTGATCAGGGGTCCTTCGGCCAGACGGAAGGAACGCGTGGGTGATTTATGTTTATTGTAATCTCTATCCTGACTTGCCGGTGGAATTGGAACCGGACTGTTGCTCCCCAGAATGGAAAGGAGCCAGGACCATAAGCGCCTGTTTAAAAAAAAAACAAAAAAAAAACGAAAGTTGGCTGCAGAAAGGCAACAACACAGTGCATCGGCGACTGTCGCCGGAGCGCGGCTGAGAGTCTTGTGCATTCAGACAGCAGATGCATTGAGAGTCAGTGGTAGTCAACGTAGCTAGGTGCCATAGCTTCATATAAGAGAGAGTGTGTTACATCTTCCACGCCACACGGGTCCTGCCGGACCCGACTTAGGGCCAAGGGGACACAGTAGGGCCTAAAGGCCCGGACTTGGGGTACAGCAGGCCGTAAAGGCCACATTTTTGGACCAGACCTGACGGGCAGGCCCAAACGACATTACCGTTTGGGCCTGG